CTGGCGATGCGTCAGTGGAAAAGGCGACGGTGACGACAACGACGACGACGGCTACGACAGCGACTAAATAGCAATAACACGTAACATTAAACATCACCGAAAAAATTTTTCCTTTCTTTACTTGCGACACCCTCTCAACCCTTCCTCTCTCTCTCCGTCCCTGTTTTTTTTTTTCGTTTTGCTGTACCATTCTTCCTTTTCCTCTCTCCCTTAGATATTCTTCTGCCCGTCTGTGAAAACAAGGAAAGCAGCTTAAGATGGCAGGAATTGCAGATCTTCCTCTTTTGAGATTTGGAGATCCACAAAGCGTTCGCCGGTCATCTACTGCATTTTAAGGAGTTAAAAAGGTTGATCTTTTTCAGTAGTAGCTTTTAAAAATTAACGGCTGTTGAAGGGTTTCCCCTGCTGTCCTAAAGCCTCATCACTCATCACTTTTTCTCTGACTTGAGTTATGTACGCTAGTGATTTGCACTGAGACTATCAGGCAGGGTTCCATAAACAATAACGGGCAAAGCTTACAGCTGTTCCTATCTTTGGGGCTGATCATTAAGGAAATTTAGGAAATCCTTTGCAAGACTTGACTGAGATAAATTTTTTTTTGTGGGTAATGAACCATATGCTGTTTAATGCAAACAGTCAGGATTGGGTGGATATGAGCTTATTCGGGGTTTTAAAATACGAGATCTTTGGTAGTAGTAAAATTTTAAATGAGAAGTGGAAGATCATACGCCACCGGATAACGCGCAATGCAATTACTAGCACGTCTGCATCAAATCTACTTTTCTGAAGTTTTACCGCCCCACTTCCGATATTCATAGTTCGGTCAGTCAGCTGGAGGAAAATTTTTGAGTTTTTACGGAGCATATTTTTTTCTTCCGGCTTGCACTGCAGTATTATCGAACGCAAATTCTTGGTGCGACGTTGATGGGCGTTTTTTTATTTAATCCGTTAAAATTAACTGTACTTCAAATATGATATAGTTTCAACCGTTTTTACCGAAGCTGCTGCATTTGTCTAATGTGCAGCTTGTTGGCAGTGACGTTAAAGACTTTAGTTCATGAGGCAAATGGAAAGTTTTTGAGACGTTCATCTTTCTTTGTTGCTTACTGTTCTGTTTCCATTGTCCTTTCTTTTTTCCTCGCATATTATCTTGCTTTAGCTGACTGAATGGTCGAGGTTTTCGTGTGACGGTTTTCGGTGGTTGGTGAACAGTGTTGATTTTTAGGATTTCTTCAAAGCAGGAGAAACACTGTAATTGATATATTCGGTATCCAACTGTTGTAGACCAAATTGTAGGAAACATTCTCTCAATTCTTAGCCGCTCAGTATTAACAACCTTCCCGTCTCTCACAAAATTATTTGCTCCTAAAAGTTTTTGAACTGTCTCTTTTATATACTGCTGTTGTTGATGCTTTGGTTAGCAAATGGCAGTAACACTGAACACAGTAGCGCGAATTCAGTTTTCAGATTTCGCTTGCTTAAGATAGCCTACCTATCTCAGGAAAATTTGCTCAGTATGCCTTTCTAATCTTTGTTATCGTTATTACATGTTCAATAAGAAAATATTTTATGCATAGTAAGTCTTAAAAGAAAGGTGCTATTGTGATGCTGCTAATGACACTCCAATAAGATAAAAAATTATAGACAGAGAACATTTCCTAATACTGTCCGCCGTAGTACTATACCACTCATAACCGCTGTTATTTACTTGTGTAGACAAATTTCCGGATCTCCTTAACGTACCTTGCAGAATTTTATTTCAGGAACAGAAAGTGTTTTCCTCTTTTTTTTTTTTCGTCCCTTAACTTATATTTTCCTTCTTTATTCATACTATGCATATACACATAAATAATCAAATCATTAGATAGGTAAATAGTGAAATAGATAAATAAATAGGCAGATAAATAAATAAATAAATAGATAAACAAATAAATAAATAAATAAAAGTAAAAATATATGTAAATATATATGTTGCTTTTTTTTCTAAATTATGTCTATATGTGTAATTTCTTTTCAAGGGAGAATATATGTTAAAAAGATTGCCGAAGATGACGCGTTGGGAAGGAGTGTCTCAGTTTAGGAACGTTTATTTTTCTCATGTTCCTTCTGTTACTGACGGATAGCCTTTTGCCACATATGTATATTTTCGCTAGTTGTTCAACTTCTGTAGTTCGATGATGACTTCTAAAGACCTTCAAAAAACCCCGGGGTGGTGATTTTGGTTGATCATTCGATCTTTTGCTGTTTGGTGGGTTCATCCATTCAGTTTTAGCACAGTCGTCCAGCAGTACACCCAGACACATAAATACACACACACACACACACCAGCAGCCAACACACGGACACCGACATACCCGGCATTCAAATATACACACACACACACACACACACACACACAAAAACACACACAAACAACACAGAAAATTTTTTGGCTTTCCCCCTGCTTCTCTGCTGCCAATTGACTCTGGCCGCCTGGCTTTCTGACTATAAACAATTGAGTTGTCCAGCGCTGTTTTGGCCACATATTCTCCAGTGGGTTTAGTTTTGTCTCTTCCATATTTTTGGTGGGGTCTGCTAAACGGAGCTTTTTGAAGCGCTGTCCGAAACTGAAACAACATAAGTGAGCTTTTTTCTTTTTTTTACCTTATGAATAACATTGCGGTAAATTATACTTTTAGTTTCAAAAAATTGTTTTAATTTTTATTAACAGATTACACTTCTTTCCTCATTATTTAATCAAAGCTTTATACAATCGCCTGTAAACGTGGTTTTCCTGATCGGTTTGATTTTTTGAAGAAAAAAAGAATAGATTTATCATTGTTCAAAAAGTTAATTGATTGAAATTGTGCGTTTATTTTAGTGTTTTGTTGTTGCTGTTGCTGTGAACGTGGTTGTAGTTCAATATGGTTATATTTGTGAAAGCTTCTTTTATATGAGACTGCCCTTCTCTCTCTAAATCTCTCAAGAAGGTATATTGTTGGCAGAGGAGGTGATGATGGCTATTGTAGACGAGGCGGCGGGGATTGTTGGGCTGTGCGGTGGTGGTGGTGATGGTGTCAGTGCTGCTGCTGTGGCTGCTGATGCCCGAACGCCATGCTTGT